TCTACTAAAAGAAGTGATACGCCTATGGATTACGAACGCTTTATTATTTTAATACTCTCTTATACATAAAAATAGACTATAGTTTTCCAGTTTCTAAAAATAATTTATTAGATGGGTAAGTAATTTTCTTGTTATAAATTATTTTTAAAATTATTATTTTTTGTAGTACATCAAGTTGTTTAAGATGACAATATGCTGTACCTCTCCAACTCATTATGGCATACCTTAACCTTGATTCAACTAGAGCGTAATATAAAATTTTTAAGTATTGTAAATTTAAAATATTTTTTAACTATTTAAAACGGTATAATAACTGTCTTAGAGTTTTAGTTAGTATATTCACGTGAATATTCCATTTTAAATGCGAATCTATGGTCACTCCTAGATATTTATAATTTTATTTTGAGTTTATAATAATATTTTGTGAGGAGTGTTATATCGTTATTGTTTTATATTCTGATAGGCATCTTATATTATTAGAAAATGGCAAAAAAATGTTTTTTCATAATTTATAGTCAGTGACAGATAACCAAACCTGTCAAATATCTGTTCTAAATCATTTTTGGCTTTACTTTTTAAATCGTTCCATGTTTTATCAGTAGGTATATAATAGAACAGCAGTGTCATCTGTAAAGCTGATAATTTTTCCACTAGAAACCGAAGTAAGCATTACATTAATATAAATTGAAAATAAAATTGGTCCCAGGACAGTTCCTTGAGGTAAACCGTAATTAAAAGTTTTTTCTGAACTATTTTCAATCACTTGTATCGGCTCTAAAACTTGACACAGCTTGATATTAATCAAGTTTTAATTTTTACTATAAAATTCAACTTTAATCAACGCCAACCGCGTTAACAGCTTGTCGTTATAATTAAACGAAATCCCCTAATAACTCAAACTCGCAGTTCCACTGAAAATAATCATTATTTCAAATTACCCATATCATACCAATCCATATATGTACCGAATTAGACCTTGATTGATTTGAAAAGAAACCTTAATAAGTATATAAGTCAATATAAACAGCTGCACAAGAGATTTTAATTAAAAATGACATGACATGTTACAAATTGCGAGCATATCTACCAGAAATAGACATCGGGGTTTCTATTTATTTTTATTCGCGTGTAGATAAATAATGAATAGATGCTTACGCAAGTAGGCACGACATGCAATTGCTAAATCATTTAATAATATCGACTGTATCTAGTGAACAAGTAAAAATGTTATGAAAACACTAAAACACAGTAACACAAATATACGAAAGTTTAAGAAAAATGCTCAAAAGGTCTAAAAAATATTTTTTTAATTATAAATAGTCATATACTACATTGAGAAAAAGTTATGGGAGGCAGCGTGGGCGCCAAGGGGTTTATAGAGTGTTTTAGGAGTGTGCATTTGAGCTTTTCTTAGGCTTGAAAATATTTTTCAATATTCAATATATTCAAAAGCAATGAATCACAATCTTTTATCCGTATCGAACAGGGTAAAAAAAATTCGACTGCGTTTAAAAAAAAACATCAACAATAAATTTGTTGTATACATACATTGTGTCTTAAATTCAAGTCTCCATATTCTATCTCGCTTAATATAAGAGATAGAAGGTTGGTTAATAGGAATGTTTTAGATAATTTTATACTGATTTTAAATCTACTTTCAAAATTATAAAAAATAAGTATGTAGGTTTTGACTGATCATAAGTTTCTTTAGTTCCGTGATTATTTCACATAAGTAATTTGACAATACAGCTTAAAATTATAAAATATGAGAGAGAAATGTGTCAAATTTCGAGAGCCAATCCTAATTAAAATTAAAAAAAGGCTTATACTTTGTATGACACTAAGTTATTTTATGTTTCACCCTGTAAATTCCTCAAATCTAACTATTTAAAATCGTATATCGTGTACGTACTTTCGAATGCCGTAATTTTATTCGATACCAATTGATATTATAGCTCTAAAGTTCTTTAATTTTACAATTTGCCTTTCATTTTATGAGTATTAACTATATTAAACAGTCTATATACATGCCGTTATTTATTTGCTTATGTATAAATTATTTAATGACAGGTTGTACATATTTAGCGCGTTCTTTATGGAAAAGTCACCTTAATTAGCCACGACTTGGAGAAAACGAATTGTTTGTTATAGAAAATGGTTGGTACTTATCATTCGCTGCTTTTAGATAGAAAAAGTGTGAAAACGATAATCCTCCGTTGTATTTTGCTTTCAAAGCGATTTCTTACCTTGTTAATTTATTATTATTATTAGTTGCTCTAATCACCTTATATACGCAATATATTTTGAAATTATATAGCAATCATTCACATTTTATTATATGAAAATCTTATTGTTCAAAGATTTCTAGTACTGTAGAATCAGTGCAACTGATGAGAAACATTATACAATTTTATAGGTCACTGACTAATACCAATAAATGCTCGTTTCTTCTTTTCTCACATAAAAACTTTAATTAAATAGTTTGTTAGCATTTTTTTTTGAAAATGCTTCAATAGATAGCCAACATTTTACAAATCACTACAAGAACGTTTCCTGCAAGTAGCAAAAAGTCGTTAAAAGTGTTTTTGTTTCGCTTTAACATAACTAACGGATTTTCAACACAGGAACCATAATTAGTGATGCATCAAATGACATCAAACAGGTGCGATAATCAACATCTGTAATAAAAGCTTCGCGAATTCATTAAAACTGAAAAAAAAATGAAAGCCTTGTTATTCTATAACACCCATTATTATTCTAATAACTTCATTAAATTCATTATCAGATGTTACCTGGCTGTTGCCTAACAATTTTACTGAAGGAACGTGGTGCCAATTAAGGTATCATCCATTTTACATTTTAAATAAATTAAATGTTTAATGTTTTTTACTAATTAGAAATAATTATATGTGTTATGAAAATACACTTGTAATTTCAGTTTCTTCAAAAATATTTATTACTTTAGAAAGGTAGATAAATATTAAGTGAAAGACCGTTTTTTTTTAATAAATACTTAAATTAAATTATTGTTTTATAGATTTTAAATAATAATAACATTAAAGCTACATATAGACCCAAAAGCAAAACACAAGACCATTGTATGTATTTAGTTATTAATTATTCCTGTCTTAAAGACACGTTCATATTTTTGCTTTGAAACTTGATAACTCCAAAAAATGACGTTGTCACGAACGCTGAATGTTTTTCAATATTTCTCAATATTTCTCAATATTTCTCAATATTTCTCAATATTTCTCAATATTTCTCAATATTTCTCAATATTTCTCAATATTTCTCAATATTTCTCAATATTTCTCAATATTTCTCAATATTTCTCAATATTTCTCAATATTTCTCAATATTTCTCAATATTTCTCAATATTTCTCAATATTTCTCAATATTTCTCAATATTTCTCAATATTTCTCAATATTTCTCAATATTTCTCAATATTTCTCAATATTTCTCAATATTTCTCAATATTTCTCAATATTTCTCAATATTTCTCAATATTTCTCAATATTTCTCAATATTTCTCAATATTTCTCAATATTTCTCAATATTTCTCAATATTTCTCAATATTTCTCAATATTTCTCAATATTTCTCAATATTTCTCAATATTTCTCAATATTTCTCAATATTTCTCAATATTTCTCAATATTTCTCAATATTTCTCAATATTTCTCAATATTTCTCAATATTTCTCAATATTTCTCAATATTTCTCAATATTTCTCAATATTTCTCAATATTTCTCAATATTTCTCAATATTTCTCAATATTTCTCAATATTTCTCAATATTTCTCAATATTTCTCAATATTTCTCAATATTTCTCAATATTTCTCAATATTTCTCAATATTTCTCAATATTTCTCAATATTTCTCAATATTTCTCAATATTTCTCAATATTTCTCAATATTTCTCAATATTTCTCAATATTTCTCAATATTTCTCAATATTTCTCAATATTTCTCAATATTTCTCAATATTTCCCAATATTTCTCAATATTTCTCAATATTTCTCAATATTTCTCAATATTTCTCAATATTTCTCAATATTTCTCAATATTTCTCAATATTTCTCAATATTTCTCAATATTTCTCAATATTTCTCAATATTTCTCAATATTTCTCAATATTTCTCAATATTTCTCAATATTTCTCAATATTTCTCAATATTTCTCAATATTTCTCAATATTTCTCAATATTTCTCAATATTTCTCAATATTTCTCAATATTTCTCAATATTTCTCAATATTTCTCAATATTTCTCAATATTTCTCAATATTTCTCAATATTTCTCAATATTTCTCAATATTTCTCAATATTTCTCAATATTTCTCAATATTTCTCAATATTTCTCAATATTTCTCAATGCTTCAAAATAACTCTCAATGCTTCTCAATGTTTTTTTATTAATTCTTAATGTTTCTCAATGTTTCTTAATGTTTCTCAATGTTTCTCAATGTGTCTCAATGTTTCTCAATGTTTCTCAATATTTTTCAATGTTTCTCAATAAAAGTTAAGATTAATAGTTATTCCTCAAGCAATTTGTCACTAAAAAGGGAATCTTGGTTAATCTATGTGGAGATTTTTCAGTTTTAGTACTACTAAAACATGAAATCTATGCATAATTTTATCAATGGCCAATTTTATGAATATTAAAAGGTACAGTTCTCCAAATTTTGAGAGATTGACATGCCAACGTGACAAAAATAATAATACACCATTGTTGTATTCATTTTAAATTTAATTAAATTGACAACTAATGAAAATAATTTAACTTGCCTTAAACCACTGAATAAAGAGTTACAAATTCTTTCAAATAATCTGTCACTCGACCATCATCATAATTTAACATTTCCATACTCTGTTTAAGGGATGAAATAAGGAATAAAACTTTTATAACAGAAATGTACAGCTCCAGATGTAAAAAAGATACTTAAAAATATTTTTAAATGAACTATTAACATTAAAAACTATTATTTTGTTTCAGACTTTGATGTTACCAGAAAAAGAGAAGCAGAACACAAGAAGTTAATGTAAGTTTTTATAAATTTTTCAGTTACACTGGTTTCAAAAATCTTAATTTTTATAATTATTTACATCATTTTTCTGTCTAATTTTTAGAAAATCGTGTACTCTAAAAACTTGTGGTAATAATTCACTCACTATAGTGTTTATTTTTACAAAATGTCAATTTACAACTAATAAAAAAATCGAATTGTTAACCACACCTAAAATAATTTAGTAATAGCCGAAATGAAATGAAGTAATAAATAAATTAAACAGCGAAAATTAAATCTAAATCAGAATTTCGATTTAATTCGTAATAAATCTTTTTGTTTATCGATTCTTATTAGAAATTAGTTTCTCCTATATGTTTTTATTAAGAAAATTATTACGTTTTTTTCTTCTCTTGTTCGGCAGTTGAAATTTTAGTTTAATTTGAATATTTTACTTTCTTTTAAGATAAAAAAACAAAAGTTGTAAAATCAATGACAAAGAACAGCATTAATTTAAATTTTTATTTAATTATATAAATGATATAATAAATATTTGCTGCACCTAATTCTAGGTAAATAAATATTTTTTTAAAAATATTCTCACGAGAATTTTGCACTTTGATCAAGAAAATACCAGGAAGCTATATCAATTAGAACTTATGATGCGGAAAATTAGATGCTACTATGCGTAAGGAACATTAAGAAAAAATAAAGATATTTCAAATTAATAAACGAAAAATACATCTTCAAAATTATTATAAATGTAAAACTTAGAAGAACCTTTGATTTATATTTGTTCGAATAATTATTTCGCGATCATTGTTTAGAAAAATGCAATCAAATTTATATGTATAAATTTCGCTTGCATCATTTGATTATTTACTTGAAATTTCAAATAAAATATATGTTCGCATAATTTACATCATACAGCAATGTATAAATTCTTTATTCACGGCACAAATATACGTAGTTCAGAAATATCTTAAGATTCATCAATTTTGAATATGATTTATTACATTTTCTGAAGTCGGGCACTCCTTTACTTGATTTGCAAGCGTAGAATACCAAAATTAATGTGAGAATTTATAGTAGATACATCAAGTGATTTTTTACTTAAATATCGAGTTTTTTTTCAGAATTAATTTGACTTTCTCATATTAGCTATGCATTTGGATTGCTAAATAGTTTTTAAATGTCTAAAAATGAAAAATAATTAATAATTATAGTATAAAGATGAAAGGAGTGTAGTAATTTAATTTGCAGAACATAGTATAGGTTCAAAAGATAGAAATTTTATTTATACCTCATCCTTCAATGCTTATTTATAGTTAATAAGAAAATAAACATAAACAAATGGCTACAACATCACCGAAAAGTTTGGCAACGTTAGGTTGATCCTTTCAGTGTAGCTGAAAAGGATTGGAAACTATAGTTAAAATAATTTACGAAATATTAATTTTTTTGTGTCATATATTTATCGTTCTGTACCGTCAATACATTTTTAATTATTTTACATTAATATTTTTAATTTATTCTATATCTTCTCAAATATAAAAACAAACGAAATAAGAGAATAGGAATTTGAAACAAAAACCAACAGCAGTCGGAGCCAACAATAAACTATCAAAAATGGCAAATGATTGCTATAAACTTTGATTAGATGGATAAACATTGCCTTTTACCTATTCAACCGCCAGCTAAGTCAAGAGGTTATCGAACTCTTGTAACCTATATAAGTTACGTACAGAACAGACAGACCACCGCATTTATCAATAAATGTATTCACTAATTTTGCATTTTGTATCGTTGTTTAACGTTCGAATGGTGTTTTCATGAGTGGCAAATATTTAAATAATATTCTTGTTTAATTATATAATATAGTGCGAGTCAAAAGGAATAAATTTGAGCAAAGAGATATAAGAAAAAGGTCCTTCATTTCTCCCAAAGTTAAGTAACCCCACTTTTTGGCATATAATATAATAGATTTACCGTTCATACCCACGTGCTGAGTATTTTCGAAAGAAATTCTTCCAATGGGGCATGTTCAAAAAATTTGAAATTTTTTTTATGAATAGAAGAGTTAAAAATAAAACTACATTTTTTTTATTTTTTTTTTATCTATTCATTTGCCGGAGTTATGAATTTTTTTAAAATTTATGACGTCACCGGGAATAGACCAATAGGAGCTAGCGCACAACGTTGCCGGCTAGAAGGTTTACGAGAAGTGATGTACGTTCGTTTGTGTACTCCTTCTTACTTTTAGACTTCTAAAACATCGTTAAACAAATATCTTTTAAATATATAATATCAAATGTTTTTTGAAAGTATTATTTCTGTTTAAACTTTTACCATATTTAAAGTTTCATTGTTTTAAAAGTCACTTAATAATTCAGAAAATGGCAAAATGGCAGCACTGTGTATGGCATCTGTCATCATAGTGTCTCGATCAAGAATTTATTTGGAATTTGAGTGTTTAATTTTGTACTTTTTATAAATATTATGACTACGAAAAAGTGTTTTGTTCCAGAATGTGATAATTATTCACATTCATCTCTAAGAATACATGTGGAAAGAGTTATAAGAAGGGTTAGTTAATTTAACATGTTAAAACCACATTCGTGGGTGAATTTTAAGCAAGTACATTTACTTAGTAATATCTGCATAATTGCTTGTTAACTTACAAGAACCTATTTTGTAAGAGTAAATATTAATTTAATAATTTTTTTTTGGTTTGTTTTTTTAATGTAATTTACCTAATTATCACATTTCAGGGATTATAATGAGTTTTTAAACAGCCAATGTAATTTTTTAGAAAATTTTAACTTTTCGAACAAATCAAAGAGGAATGAGTACCTGTATATGCATAGATTTTTTTTAAAACTACCAAAACAAAGGCACCTATTTACAGCAGTTTAAAATGAAACATTTTGACAAAAACGCCTATGTCACAGTAATAAATATTAAAAACAACCAAGTTCAGTTGAATGTGGTAGCAAAGTCTATATATTCCAATAAATCGGGTAACTACATGTGGTATCACTGGTGATAAATTAAAAAATATCACAATTCTTGCCACCTTTTTTAAAAAACCAGAAAGTGTGCCTTCTTACCAATCCTTTATGAAAATGACAACAGTGATAAATGTGAAAAAAAATTTAATGTTGCTATTTGTTATTACGATAGTAAAACATGTTTGCAGTTCCGTTTATTTTTTATGAAAATCTAAGTAAAAACAACCAATGTCAAAGGGTTATAATTTTTTTTCTGCCAAACCAAATATATCACAAAATTTAAAAATTGATCATAGGTCAAGCTAAAGTAATACCTTTATTGATAGTAGCTTTAAAAAAAGGAGAAAGAATAATATTGACTTAAGTTATTATTATTAACATTGGTGATTTTTAATAAAAACTCTTCAATTATTGTTTACAAACAAAAATATAAAAATCTGTGAAAATTTTATTTATTAACCTTTTAATAAAAAATGAAGTAAAAAACAATTTATTTACAAATAAAAAATTTATATACAAATCCTAAGAATATAAAAGTACTGATTTATTTTCCTGTAGTGGATGAAGAGGTTTCTTTAACAATCTAGCCAAATGTACATCAATATTTACGCATTTTGATAAATTAGAGCCTTTCCAATAACACTGAGTAGATGTTACAGGGTATAAAGGGTATAAAAATAGCCTAAAAATATGGCATATTTTTTAACTCAAAATTTCATAGGTGCTCTGCAGCATTCTTTGGTATCATAATTATTACTAGGTTCACTAACAAAATCTGTTTATAGATTATTTTAACACTTGCTGCGATTACAAAAAATGTCTATATGTCAAAATTAGAAAAAAAATATTTATAGGAATAAAGGGCCTTATACACTGTTTATTATATGTAATATAAAAACAAAAAAGCATAATAAATATTACAAACCTTGACATGCAGCATATCCTAAGCATATTGTGCACTAAAATTTCATTTTTGTTAATTACAACAACCACATCAGAAGGTTTTTGCCGTACTTTATGTTTAGGTGTAATTTGTCTCCTTCTCTCTTATGGAAAAAGAAATTATCCCCATATTCTTGCTTGGCAGATCTAAAAATAAAACCTGCGATAAATATTATGTTTTACTTGCTCCATATAAACTGTAACTACCTACTATTAAAACAAAGTCTTACCTTTCTGACTTTTGTAAACTGAGTATTATTAAAAAATGCAGTAATCATCTCGGTAATCATATTTTACAATTTACAATGGGTAAAACACTTGATTTAACTTTTATAAATCCAGCTGATTCATATTAATAATAAAATTAAACCAAAACAAAAAACTAGGGTTAGGTGTTAGGTGGTGTCAATTTTAATGTCACTTAGATGTGCGTTCACTTCGACATTCTGTGTGTCGGTTTGTTCGTTGGCTTAGTTTTGTATAACAAAAAAAACTTCGACACAAGATGATTGGTCTATTCCCGATGACGTATAATTTCAAATTTTAAATTTCAATTGGGCTTAATTTAAAAACTTTTGGCTTTTTTAACGAACTGACTATTTAGAATAACTTGTACAGCGACTAACTATTACAATATAATTTATGAAACAGCATATCTCACATGTGAACATGGCCCATTACATGAATTTCAGTTTCCCCTTCTATCTCCCAACTGTTGATCCTTAACAATCGCCACAGTCCATTTCCTGTAACAGTAATTTTATTTTGATTAAAGTTTTAATTTTTTATAACATTTTACTAATTAATTTAATTATATTATGTATGAATATTTTTTGTATTACAAAGCTGATGAAGGCTAGTCGCTTTTAAATTGAATAACATTTACATGTGGTACTGATTTTGAGTTTATTTATTCCTTTGACCTGTTGTAGCTTTTAGATATAAATAGTAATTTGATCCGCTACTGTTATCACTGTTCACTGTTCGCTGTTCTTTCCCTCCAATTAAAATTATTATCGTTGCAATGCGTATAATAATTTATTTCCGATAACGCTTTCTAAATCATTCATTAAAAAATTATAT